AATAGTTTCATAAGGAGAAGAATGGGCAAGCAACTCCATAATTCATATAACAGGGGGCAAATGGGCTCACGTGATCATAAATACCGCCGCCCATGGACACTCTTAATGCCAGGCTCGCGAGTGCGTTGCCGGCCTTTATTATTACTATATTCTTAAACTATAAAGCTATTAGTAGAGATAGGATTTGATTACAATTTTCACTTGAACGTCTTTATTTAAGTTTTAATGCACAAATTTCGTTGATGTGTAAAGTCCCCGCAGAGGCAATTTAATTCAATCCCTGTATAACGTTACAGAAAGGTAACAGATAATCCAATTCTGATATTTATGTTCTGCGTTGGATAAAATAAATCACTATAATCAGATTTATATGAGATATGAACGATACCAGCCAAATATATTTCGAGAGAATATACATGTATACACATAGCTCCGAACGGGAAAGTGCCAAATGGGGCATGGTACAACGTCTTTTTATAAAGCTTTATTAATTATTTAGTTAAAATGTTTAGTTTAATTTCAAAATTAAGGTTATTTTTTCGTGTTCTAGTTTTTGTATGGCCCCTTTTAAGGGCCTCCTCTATATTTTTCCACTTATCTTTGTCTTCCGCAACATTTATCCAGTTTTTTCCCCGCTAGTTCTATTACGTCATCAGCTCATCTCATCTTTTGTCGTTCTATACATCTCCTTCCAGTAGGTCCAGTCCATTTTGTAGTTTCAAGTGTCCATCTTTTATCCCGCGCTCTAGAAGGTACGACGGGTTGGCGCTTAATTCGAATCAGGTCCACTTAACACACAAATTTTAAAAAAAGCTGATAGAAAGTATCTTGAATAAAAGACTTTTATTATTAATACTAGTAATATTATTAATCCAGTATGCGGTCTGTCCATGATATTTTAAGCATACGTCGATAAACCCAGATTTTTTAATAGAACTGGGGGCAAACGGGAGGCTCATCTGATGTTAAGTGATACCGCCGCCCATAACACTAAATGCAAGAGGGCTCGCGATTGCGTTGCCGCCCTTTTAAAAATTGGTACGCCCTTGAAGGACCCTAAATCGAATTGGTTCAGTGACTGCTTCACGACTGGTTTGAGCGCGACCGCCGCTGTAAAAACCCCTGTGTGAGTTCGAAAAGTGAGTTACAGAATCGCAGGGCAGTTGTGGAATGACGGACAAGATCTCGAACGCTTCCAATTATTTTGCTTTTCCTTAATGCATAAAATTTGAAGTTGTATAAATATTCCTGTAGAATCTATAGATTTTATGATAACCATGAAAAAAGACTTGCGCCTGACTATACACTTTACAGTATACAGTAAGCATGAACAAAATATCTAGCTCAAACCATTTTTCAAATGTTCACACTCAATCGGTTAACAAATGTTAACATTTCAAGCTAACCAAGTTACTTAACCGCAAATAAAACCGACGTAAATTCGTTGCTTTCTACCAAACTATTATTAAACATTCCTGGTGCATAGGGCTGCAACACAAAATGTATGTACAATAGAAACAGGTAACAAATACTATAATAAAATGTAGTTCAACTAGATACTAAAAAGAGTGACGGAGAGTTTATGGCCAGTTCTTCTCTTCCGTTCTACGGCCTTGATTTGAGAACTGGCAGTAAATGTAAAATTAGAAGCATTTAATGTATATTTCTTTTTTGACGTTCATAAGTGTACATTGTGTTACTTATATCAATACATGATTTTTGACTTTTGACTTTTACTAAAAAGCCTGGCCCTACAACCTTATACGTCAAGACTTCAGATTTCCGTAGGTTCGAAATCATTTGCCGTATCACCTCGACGTCCGTCGTTCCACAACTGAGCGTTTTCTAAGCAGTTTTTGCCGCGCACCACCACTATGTGGAACCAGCTGCACACTGAAGTATTTCCGAACTAATTCGACTTATGGACCTTCAAGAAAAGAGCGTACCAATTCTTGAAAGGCCGGCAACGCACATGCGAGCCTTCTGGCATTGTGAGTGTCCATGGGCATCAAATAACATCAGATGAGCCTCCTATTACATAAAAAAAATAATAGGTGATCAGCATTCTGTTACTTACTTACCGTCGACTTTTTGGGTCTAAGGCAAGCGAGTGTTAAATACACACAGAATTTATTCCAGAAGAACAGAAGAAGGGGAATTTAATAAACACACTAAAGCTACAGGTGTGTTAAAAATAGATGGAACGATGTATGATAGGAAAGAAAATAAATGTTTTCTTTTGTTTTGCTCTGCATCATATTTTTTGTCGGTGAAACTTTTTGTGGATATTTATTTATTTATTTATTTAAACACTTCGTTGCATATACATAAATATAGTACAATTGACATAATTAAATAAAAAGGAGAGCAACTGGCGGCCTTATCGCTTTCGAGCGATCTCTTCCAGGCAACCACTGTGAGAAGAAAAAAAAAAGTATTAAATTACATAAGGTAGGCAAGAAGTGCAAAAATACATGTATTACATATAGTTGTTGAGAAAAACAAACTAAACAGGAACAAAAAAACTAAGTAATAAAGAACACGTAAAAAAACAAATTAATACCTAATATTAAAAAGTGCACATGAATCATTATAATTTAATTTAAGAATTTAATTTAAGATCGGTCTCACGTCATCATTGTGGAAGCGGATCCATCGCAAACCACGTCCGAGTTAGCTGCAGGCTGCGGTGTTAGTGATAAAACTGTTTTAATTCACGTGAAGCAAATTGGGATGATTAAAAAGCTTGAAATTTGGGTACCTCACGAATTGACTGAAGCAAACCGGCAAACGCGCGTCGACTGCTGCGTTACATTACTGAACCGGCACAATAATGAAGGTATTTTAAACCGAATCATTACCTGTGATGAAAAATGGATTCTTTACGATAATCGGAAGTGCTCAGCGCAATGGTGGTATCCTGGCCAGCCAGCCAAATCCTGCCCCAAGCGAAAATTAACCCCAAAAAAGTTACTTGTAAGCGTTTGGTGGACTAGTGCCGGTATTGTTCATTGCAGTTTTCTCAAATCTGGCCAGACTATTACGGCTGATGTCTATTGTCAGCAATTGCAAACCATGATGGAAAAGCTAGCGGCTAAACAACCTAGGCTGGTCAATCGCTCCACGCCACTGCTACTTCACGACAACGCTAGACCACACACTACACAACAGACGGCTACCAAATTAGAAGAGCTTCAATTGGAATGTCTAAGACATCCTCCGTACTCCCCGGACCTTGCTCCAACAGATTACCATTTTTTTCGAAATTTGGACAACTTCTTGCAAGGGAAAAATTTTAACTCTGATGGGGCAGTCCAAATCGCCCTCACAGATTTTATTGATTCCCGTCCGACTGGTGTTTTTAGTAAAGGGATCAATGAATTACCTATGAGATGGCAAAAGTGCATAGAAAACAATGGTTCATACTTTGTTTAATTAAATATATTATATTTAAAAATATTCGACTTTTTGTTCCTCCCATACAAAACGCGCAATTTCATATGTAACGACCTAATATTTAAGTACTCCGCGAATACGATAAAGTAGATTCCCAACAACTTACTTCGCAAATACAAGAAAACGAGACGAAACAATTAAACAATATTCATACACCACTAACTAGGAATTTGACATTGGTCAAACAGATATTTGACAACCCTTACGGCCATAACTATTGTTTTATAAACACTACACAATCTGAGAGCAATATTACTAAACAACTTCCGTACATTTTTAAATTTTCCGTTTAGTTATTTTAAATTAAGCATATGATATGTTAATTTTGTTATACTATTATATAAGTGTATGACATATACAAATTACATTTCGTGTGTAAATAAGATATAAACAGTAATATTCGTAAATGTTCTGAGAATTTTATTTTTGATTTGGAATGTAAGTACTGTTTTTTTGCGTTTGTTAAGTTTTATTTTAAATCAACACGTTAGAAAATTTTGTAGGGTAGATTGATTAGAAAATTATTAATTATAGGATCAGCAATAAAAGATGACCGATACGTAATGCCCGACTTAGTCCTTAAGACAACTTCTTAAGAGTGGGCACTCACCACAATAACTTATCGTAGATTTGATTTTATCTAAATATGTGATGTTTGAATTAAAAACAATAAATATGTATTGTTCCTTCACCATAATTTCAATAGTTGACTCTAAAAACACAATACATTCCTCGATACGAAAAAAAACCTCTAACTTTTGCCTAATTTCGTTTTTATTCAATCATCGCTTACTAGTTCCACTAATATTTTTAGATCTAAAAAATAATTGAATTACAGCTCATTAGTGTGGCCGAGAGCTGTTACTAGCGATTTTATTAAATATTGTATACTTTATCATTTAAATAAAAATCATTTGGCGTTTACTTTATTTTTGTTCCGCGCAACATTGCGTAATGATCGTCGAACAATGTCAGTTAAATCCACTCCAAAAAAAATCCACTTTTTATCATATTTGGATACTACATTGACTAAATATTACGGCTACATTTAAAAAAAACCATGTGTTTTAAATTTCAAATTAACCAGACGGAAAAGTGACGGATTTGATAGAAACATGTGCTTTTCTAGAAATCTGTTAAATTTAATGTTATTATCTTTATTTTGTTTCAAAAAAAACCCTTTTGTTTGCTTGTATGTCAATTTTCATAATAACAGAATATGAATTAAAATAGTTATGACAAAGACTAACATGATTATATTATTTTGAAATGGCTGCCCTGTAAAGTTTACTATCTGTTAGATCAGTCACTATTCTACGACTATGTCGATTGTATCGTCTCATATCATGCGAAATTTTGTTGCCCTAATGCGCGCTCTTAATACTTTAAGAATTTTTTATCGAATAAACGTCAATTTATTTTACAGCCTTTTCGTAATCAAAATGATTTTTTACATACTTATAACTGTGATTATCCAACATGTTGCTGGAAAAATAATAACAGATGAACATACAAGGGTATCAAGTAATGAATTGTTTCCATACATGGCGGCCATTTTGAAGAAGACCTCCTATATAAGCGCCGGTGCTTTGATACATGAAAGTTGGATTATAACTGGAGCTGATTCATTGTATATGTAAGATCTCCTTTCATTATTAACAGGCAATGGATATTTATATTTCGTACAGCCTTGCGATTCTGTAACTCACTTTTCGAACTCTCACAGCGGTATTTGCAGCGGCGGTCGCGCTCAAATCAGTCGTAAAGCAGTCATTTTACGATTTGGCATTCTGATAAACAATACAAGCTCCCTCCTTATTCCTCCCTCCCAGAATTCAACTATAATCCCTAATAACTCCAGTACTTAAATTTCCAATATAAATAACCATATATATACAAGGTTTAAATTTAACAACGGAACACAAAGTTGTTAAAACATTCTACAATCAATAGATTAACATTAACACGTTTCATCATCGGTCGTCATTACATAATACTATCCGTATCACCTCGACGTCCGTCGTCCACAACTGAGCGTTTCTTAAGGCAGTTTTTGCCGAAACCACTATGTGGAACGGGCTACCCACTGAAGTAATTCCAATTCGAGTTAGGATCCTTTAAAAAAAGAGCCTAACAATTCTAAAAAAACCGGCAACGCACTTGCGAGCCTTCTTGGAATGTGAGTGTCACGGTATCAACATCAGCTGAACCTTCTGCCCGATTGCCTCGAGTTATATATCTAAACTGGATACGTTCACACAAACTAAACTTATTTTTGATTTTATTACATCATTTCAGTACTACATTACTTTTATATTTCAATATTTTTCTCAGGTTTTAAAACCTAATAAAGGAAGTAACTAGAGCGATTTTAAGCAGTGTTAGAGATTAACTTTCAGGTGCTTATCCCCGGTTATGCATTGGTATTTTCTTTGTGGCATGTGCTGTCTTAAGAGTTCGCCTACTGCGAGCGAGCGTCTCTGAATTCTGTTGTGCTTTCAAATCACGGCTTTGCATCAATTTTTATGAAAGACAACATCGTGAGGAAACAAGCATGCTAACCAACATTTACGGCGTGTCTCAGCCAGCCTGTAGCGCCACTCTGATTGCTGTGCGTACGGTACAGGATAATATCGTAAAAACTTACTAATTTAGATTAAAAAACTGAACAATATAATATCTGGTATATACGGCTGCATTTTCATTAAGGCTCTTTTGCCTTTTCTTTGCCGGATATTTTTATATGTATATTGTAAGTATAACGCCATCGTTGGAAGACAGCAAAAACCCAAGTTAAGTTCAGTATAGAAGATATTATTTTTCAGGATCAGAGATCTTTCTCGTATTCTCCGCGTGCGCTTGGGCAGCATCAACTATAAGAAAGGAGGGTTTCTCTCTCCAGTGAAATACATTCACATACATCCACTCTTCGATGACGACAAGCCCCAGTTTGACATAGCGTTAATCAAGCTAGCCTCGCCTCTGCGGCTGACTCCCAACTTAAACCCAATCAAGCTGTTAAAGAAACCACGACAAATAACTGCTACTCATTTTATTGTAACAGCCTGGCCTGCTCCTCTTCAGGTATGGTATTTTATTGTTCACGTGAATACCTGTTTGCATACAAGCAATGGACTTTGCTTCATACAGTGTAAGCTCTTTATAACGAATTTCAAGGGACCGAGCAATTTCGTTATAGCGAGGGAAGAGAAAAAACCAAATTTAACCAATTAGAAAAACAATTAATTATATATATATAATAGATAGGTGACTGAGTAATTGAGACCAAAATTCCCTACAGGAAATGTATCTAAGAATAATGGCACACGTGTTGATGCAATTAAAAATAACAAAGGCGAGAAGGCTGTTTATGACCTCAGGTGTCTTTCTTAGAAATTTCGGCACCTCAATAGATTAGTTTTGTAAGCTGATTTTAAAAATAATTACACTTAAGTATGTTGTTGAGGTCTAAATATGAAAATATTTCTTCGTAATAGAGATGGGTTGCGTTATAAAGAGTGAGTGGTTTTGTGTGAAACCAAACAAATTTAACTCGATTTTACGTTATAACGAATGACGTTACAAAAAGTTTACATTGTATATAAAATTATCACCTAATAACTTTTATTTAATTACTAGCACAGTAAGGCAAACATTGAAAGGAAACCAGACTGCCTCGGGCCTAAACATCACCATCATCAGGCACAGGCGGTTGATCACTACTACTTGCCTATTAAGAAACAAAATGATGACAGATACATAAATTGTGAAACTTATTTTTCATAATACGAAATTAAATGAGTTTAATACTGTACTCTAGTAAAGTATTAATTTCATTAAACCTTAGGGTTCAAAGAATCATACAAGCCTGGGTTCCGTGGAGTTGTTTAAAAGACGTATACTGACAATATCACACGTCCATCCCTTGGATGCAGACGACTGTGGTGATCACCTGGAAGCCCAGGGAATAAATAATACGGGAGGTGTAATGTGTTTGGACCCACCGGTCCATGGAGATCCTTGTCAGGTAATGTATTTTAATAAGTAAGTAATCACCTGATGTTAAGTGATACCGCCCATGGCCACTCACATTACCAGATCCACAAGTGCGTTGCCAAGGTTTTAACATTTGGTACGCTCTTTTCGTCAAGACTTCGGACGTCGACTTGGTTTGGAAACACTTCAATGGAGAGCTGGTTCCACATAGTGGTGATGTGCGGCTCAAAGTGTCTAAAAAACTATCAGTTGTGGTATTATACCATGATCAATTCAGCCCATAACGCTTAGTTATAGAACGTGTATATTTCGTGTTTGATACAAATTGAAATTAGCATAGGAGGATTTTTTATAAGTCATGTTTTGATGGTATTAAACCAAACTAGATCAAATGAATTCTCTTTAGACTGAAGTACTAAGTGGTATTTTTACTTGATTTCAGAGAGACACTGGGGCTCCAATGGTCTTAAATGGAATTCTATGGGGCATTATTTCCTCTTGGAGATCCGAGGACTGTCAGATGGAAAATGGCGCCACCTTCGTCACCCTCGTCTCCCATGTTAATATCAGTTCGTGGATACACGCTACTATCCATGGGCATAAAGTAACTAAGAAGCACGGCATTGATTATGATGACAATTTCATTTAGTTATCTTAATATATATAAATTACGTGTCACGTTGTTTGTCCGTTATGGACTCCTAAACTACTGAACCGATTTCAATCAACCGATTCAAATCAAAATCAAAATTCACATCGTGTGCAGTTTGATCTAACTTAAAAGATACGATAGTTTACATCTCAATTTATACCCGCAATATTATTTTATTGCAAATATTTGTTTATTATTTGATAGTCACAATTCTAACCGATGGCGCTATGTTGAAAGTACCAACGTTTCACATAAGCTACAATTTAATGGCATAACCACCAAAAAAGCATGGTGGTCCCTATGACTGGTGTTCTCCTACCGTTTCCCTTAGTTTACTACTATGTAATAATAATATAACAAAAACCTTAGCCACAGCAACGCTTGGCCGGTTAGCTAGTATAATATATATTAAAATTATTATTTTCTTTTAATTTAAATAACTTCAGATTATATCCATTTGTAAAATACTTATCCTAGTAAATAACATGTGAATATACTATAAGCCGGTTAATTTCTGTATAACAGCTTGTCCTTACAGGCCTCCTCTAAGAGCTTCCACTCTTCTCGGTGTCTTACGCAGCCACATAGAGCCAACTGCTCTTCTTATATCATCTTCCCATCTTCTTATTTGTCTTCCTTGTTTTCTTTTGTCACGGGAGGAAGTCGGCGCTAGTTAAACGACGCTGTTTAGTAAAGAGGCTAGGCTTTTAATTGAACGGCTTATTAAGCTAGTTCGCTGCGACATATATAATATATATTATAACTATCGGACCCGACAGACGTTGTCCTGCATGATAATTCAAGCGATTAGGATATTAAACAAAGTATGAAAGTACCGACTGCAGCGCCATCTGCCGGGTTGATTTGTGAATCTATACCAACCAGGGCTCCATCCAAACGCATACAAACAAATCATTCAAATCGGTCCAGCCGTTTAAGAGGAGTTCAGTGACATAGACACGTACAGTAGAATTATTTATATATGTGTAAGCTATGATATCTTTTAAGTAACATCAAACTGCACACGGTGTGCAAATTTGATTGAAATCGGTTAAGTAGTTTAGGAGTAGTTAGACAGAAATGGCTCTCCCTCCACGGACAACAAAAGCGAGACACAACCGCAAATATTTTTTCTTGTATACTACATATCATTATATATTATATATATGACAGTTTGTACCTTTTACTATAATTAGATTAGTATTACATTATAATATAACAAACGTTTATTATTTAACTAACCACGAGTACGCTTAACAAATATAAAATATTTAAATAAATGCACCCATATCTTTTCTTCTTTAAAATCACAATATTAAAATCCTTTTTAAAACGTTCCACTTCACTGTTCACCGTTTAGCATTATTGCTAGGAGACGATTTGCTTAAGCGCAGACGTTTTAACCCATTAGTTTGGGAAAATATTGCCGAACTGGCAACATTTATTTTTATAGCGTGCTCGAGACGTTTTAATACGTTTAATATGCAAGAGGTGGTATCTTAGATATACAATAGCAATATGGATTAGTAAGGTGTATATAAAGGGAACTATTTGGGAACATTATGAATTAATTTACGTACAATTGGTTATCATTTCAAACTCAAACCCAAATTCAAACAAGTACACTAATTAAGAACGTCAACAGAAAATATGTTAAATTGATTCTAAATTTACATTTACTACCAGTTCGCAAATCAAGGGATTAGAGCGAGCAAGTTGCCAGTTCTTCACTGGCAAGAAACTCTCCGCCACTCTTGTTAATCGCCAAGTTTTGAGTCATACAAATTGTGTGAACTGGAGCAAATCAATCCTAAGGAATAGGATCATTTAAATATCCGTCAAATTTATAAAAAACTTTATTGATTAATTTACGTTTAACGAGAGTTTTGAATTTATTCAGTGATGATTCTCTAATTTTTAAATTTTTTCTAAAATTTGGGAGTTTGTTGTAAAAACGAATATAATGTCTATATACCTTAGGAGTGGTTTATCTTCTGAAGCCTGGTTGGTCGTACGTTTAATAATAATAATAATAATAATAATAATAAAGCCATTTATTCCAAAACTTGCTTATGTTTTACAATGTTGTTAGTACTACTTAATTGCTTAAATTTAAAATGGTTACTTATAATTACCGTTAGTATTATTATTTATGTACAAGGTTTGGATCCCTGTTGGGTAAAGGCCTCCTCCATCCTTTTCCATGACTCCCTGTCTCTGCCTATTTGTATCCAGTCGTTTCCTGCGACGTGTGTTATATCATCAGCCCACCGTCTTAATTGTCGACCAACATTTCTCTTCCCCATGGGTCCTTTCCATCGTGTGGTTTCAATGGTCCATCTTCTGTCTCGGTATCGTGAGATGTGTCCAGCCCATCTCCATTTGAGTAAGAGTGCGTGCCTGAGAGCATCAGTTAATTTGGTTTTTTGACGAATTTCTTCGCTCCTAATTTTGTGTATTTTCCTAATTTTCAGCATACTCCTTTCCATTGCTGTTTGGTTACTTTTAATTTTTTGTTTTATTTTATTTGTAAAGGTCCAAGTTTGGCAGCCATACAGCAAGCAAGGTAACAGGCATGTATCAAATATTGTCCTTTTCATGTGTGAGCTGTAATTGCCTTTTAAGATTTCTTTTAATGCCCAGAATTTCTTCCAAGTTGTGTTGATTCTCCTTGTCACTTCTTCTTCGTTATTTGAAGTTTTGAAGGAAATTTGTTTGCCCAAGTATATGTATTGCCTGACGTATTCTATATTATTACCTTTTATCACTATCTGGCGCTCCCGATTGTTCGTTAGTATCTTCGTTTTATTTACATTCATTTCAAGGCCGATTTTGGAACTTTCGCAGTCCAGTGATCTCATCATTTCGTCTAAGTCTTTTGCAGTCTCAGCAATAACAGCAATATCATCTGCGAACCTCAGATTGTTTAAGTATTGTCCGTTTATGTACACTCCGCTGTTCTTCCAGTCTAGTTTTTGGAAGATAGTTTCAAGGACTGCTATAAACAGCTTCGGGGAAAGAGGATCACCTTGTCTAACTCCGCGTTCTATGTTTATTTCGTCGCCTCTAGTTTCTAATTTAACTCTGCTCGTGCTTTTTGTATAGATATATTTCAAAACATTGATGTATTTCTGGTTGATATTTGAATATTGTAAAGCGTTCCAGATTGCACAGTGACTAATGCTATCAAAAGCTTTGCTATAGTCAATGAACGCCACATACAGAGGTCTATTGTATTCTCTGTATTTTTCTATGACTTGCTCTAATGTCTGTATGTGGTCCATTGTGCTGAAGCTTGATCTGAATCCTGCCTGTTCTTTTGGTTGCTGCTTATCAATATCGTCAGATATTCTCTTTAAGATTATGGATGAAAATAGTTTATAAATACTTGCCAGCAGACTTATGGGCCTGTAATTCCCTATATCTAAGGGATTTCCTTTCTTGAAGAGAAGGATTATATCCGATGTACACCACTGTTTTGGTACCTTTTCTTCATCTAGTATCTTATTGAACAATCGCGTAAAATGATATGTTAAAATGGGTGCTCCTATTTTAAGTGCCTCATTGCATATTCCGTCTGGTCCGGGACTCTTCTCGGCTTTCAGCTTTTTCATATGATCATAAACTTCGGAGTATTCAATTTGTCTGATGTGATCTGTCGTGTTCGTATGGGTTGTTTGCGATATGATTTCGGGGTTATTTTGTTTACTATATAAGTTTTTGTAGAAGTTAGTAGCGTGATTTATTACATCTTTTCTGGATTTTGTTTTTAGTGAGTTATTTTCAAGTTTTCGAATCCAGGACTTGTGTGTAGTTAATTCTTTGTATGCTTTTTTTGGCACTTCTAAAATGTTTAATGTTCCTTGTAATAATCTCGTATCTGTGGTTGTTGTAGTCCTTACGGATTGATCTATTAGTCTCTTTGTATATTCTGCTTAGTTCTGTTTTCATATCTTTAGTTTTGTTCTTTGTGTGTAGTAGTTCCGTGCGCCTTTTTAAAAGTTCTATTGTGTCTTTTGAGAAGATATTGTGTTGGTGGGGATACATATTGGTTTTGTATTTTAAGCTCTCTGTTATGCCTTTTTCCAGGATATTGTAGTATGTTTGAATATCAATGCTGTCTGTTTTTATATTTTCTGTATGTTTTTGTAGATTTCCGATGTAGCACTTTATTTCTGTTTCTGTCTTGGGGATATTAGCTGGTGTTGTATAGGTTTTTCTGCTCTTTACTGGACTACTCAAAAGTAATGTTGCTCTCACTAATCTATGATCGGAAGAGAATTCAACTTTGTTAAGTACCTCAATATTAGTTATAAGTTTGTTGTGGGTTATCATAATAAAATCTATTTCATTTTTAGTTTTGTGGTCGGGTGATAACCATGTCCATCTAGAGCTTGCTTTCTTTTTGAAAAATGAGTTCATTATGGATAGTTTATATTGATGAGCATAAATTAAGAGCCGTTCCCCTCTATCATTCCGCACTCCGTAACCATATTTTCCCATTACTGGATAGTAGTTTGTTTTTGGACATCCTATTTTCGCGTTGAAATCTCCCATGACAATGACCTTCCCTTCTGTCTTTGTGTGAGCAAATTCAATGTCTTTGTAAAAATTTTCAATTTCTTCTTCTGTTGATCTCTCTGTCGGTGCATATGCTTGAATTATTGAAAAAGAGAAGCAATCAAACTTCATTTGTAGAAGTGCTACTCTTTCAGAGATTCCTATAAAGTTGATGATGTTATTTTTATACATTTTCTTGATAAGGAATCCCACTCCATATAGTCCTTTAGTTTCGCCAATATAGCAAAATATAAGGTCGCTGTGCTCTTCTATCTTACATCCCATTTTTCGGACTTCTGCAAGGCCTATAATGTCCCAGTTAATATTTTTAGAGCATTAGTCAATTCAAGGAATCGTTCTATTGATCCTAGCGATTTTACATTATAATTGCAGATTTTGAGTGTTCGTTTCATACCATGATCTATTTCTCTATTTGG